CCTACTGTTTTTTGAGGTTTAGGTTCTGTATCCTGCTGATTTTTTATTTTTTTTTGAAAACCTGGATATCAACACCATGTCATTTTTTTTAAAGGGGGTGTAAATTTCATAAAATATTATGCTTTATGATACTGATATTGGTTAATTAAAACGAATTAAGTGATTTGTGTCCGCAATATTTTTGATCAATGTTTTTGTTATTCACACTTGTCAACTTAAATTATTTTTTGTAGCATTTTTTAAGTATAAGAGTGCAGGTTTGGAGATATAATGTCCACCAAAAGGCAAAATAAAAACACACACACACAGAAACGCATATAAGATTATATTTAATTATTTATTCAGCTAATAAGAAACATAATGGGCATTTAATATTATAATTATACTTATTTTATATAAAGAAAATGTGATTTGAGTTAGATAGGTCCAAGAGCAGTTAAATACTGTGAAATTTTTCCAGCATGGCCAAGTATCTGACTGTAAACTTTTTGTTTGGAATGACTCCATGGCCAGCTTGTGCTTCTCTTTGAATAATGAGAACAAGAGTTTGTTTTCATTGAGGTAGTTGGTGTGTTATATAACTGGTGTTTTTCCAGCCTTCATTGCCTGAGGGGTGAGAGAGTGATGCGTGATCAAGCTGTGTGGAGTTTTGGACTCTGCTTTACGGCTCTTTGACGTCATAGATCAGGATGTTCAGCTGCTGCTGTAAAGATGTTTTCATGTCATCATCTCCCTCTTGAAGCCCGTAGCTTAGAGTTTGCACACCAAACAAAAGCCGTCTCACGAGGAGGAGGAGGAGAGTGAGAGCACTCTTTCTTCCCCCCTCTCTCGTGCTCTCACTGCTGGTAGCTGGAGGTGAGAGTGACAGCGGGGTAAGGAGGGAAATAGTTAATCAATAGCCACAAGGTCAGACAGGCAAGCCTCTGGTTTGAACGTTCCCTGTTAGTGGGTTGGAGCAGAGGATTTGTAGCACTTGTAAAGGCTTAAAGAAACACTCAGCAGTTATTTGTGGTGGTGGTGATGGTCAGGGTGGCAGAACTGCAGTGTGTGAGAGAGAGAGACACCTGCTGGCCTTTGACTGTCATTGCAACCACACCGACCCAAATCCTGTCAGAGCGTTTTGCCAAATTAGCATTACATTTACTCATTGGCAGACGCATATATCTTAAGCGATTTCCATTGCATAAAAAACATCAGCTCACATATTTTCTATGCCCTTGCTGTTTCTAGTGCTGTGCTTTATAGTGTAAAAAAATGTTTATCCATATATTATTGTTTTGCAGTGTGTATATATCTGTGAAGAAAAACTGTTTCATATATGACTTGTTTAGAAAGAATATAGCTTTTTTATTGTATTTTTCAAGCATGCATTACAATTCAAAAGTTTTTTTTTGTTGGAAAATGAATAGGGAAATTAAGTCAGCATTGTTGTATTGTTATATTAATTTAAATATGTAATATTACTGTTTTACTGTATTTTTCAAATAATAAATATCAAATAAATGCAGCCCTAGTGAGAATAAGAAAATATAATTTTTATGCTTTAAATAAAGAAAAAAAAGAAATTGGTAATTGGGTGAAAAAAGGATAGATAGGGTTGAGTTCTTGGGTACCAGGCCTATGTTGCCTCATCCGTGACTTACATGCTTAAACATTTCATGCGAGCTTAAGAAAGCACTCTTAATACCTGTCCCGACATCACTTCCTGAAATGCACTGTCTGCTTTAACATATATAGGGCACTATCTAACCCTCCTGAGAGCCAGAGACGCTCCCCGTCCTGTCACGCACACAGCCAATGTATTTGAAGAGAGCTTTATCAGACCGCTGCAGTGGGTGGTGGGGGGAATTTTGCTGTCTGCCTGTTTTTTTTTTTCCACATTTGTGCCTTGGAATTTTAAGAGTGATGGTTGTGAAGTGGCCAGATGAGAGATGAAGTCCTGACGCTCCTGTTCCTCACCAATTAATCCTTCCGCATGTCGGCACAGTGAGTTACAGCGCCAGTTACGGGGCCTCGTGTTTATTTGCCAGTGAACACAACTGTAAATCAGCCTGCAGCGGCTAAATTGATAACCTTGAATGTAAGGCCTGATACCTTTAACAGCGTGTAATAGGCACACTGATGGGGATCAGGCATTTGCAGAGGTCTTATTGGAGTGTAATTGGTCACAGTTCTTTTCAGCACACACACACATTCTCTGCTCCATCCTTACTGAGTTGTGCTGTTTATTTTGCCAGCATTTTTTTGAAGATCACAGTTGTACTTGTAAGAAACTGAGAGGAGTGTCAAAGTTACACTGAAGCGACTTTGTCAACATGAAAGATGGATGGGATGGCTCCTCCTCACCCACTACTGAAATGTCATAGAGGTCTTATTGGAGTGTAATTGGTCACAGTTCTTTTCAGCACACACACACATTCTCTGCTCCATCCTTACTGAGTTGTGCTGTTTATTTTGCCAGCATTTTTTTTGAAGATCACAGTTGTACTTGTAAGAAACTGAGAGGAGTGTCAAAGTTACACTGAAGCGACTTTGTCAACATGAAAGATGGATGGGATGGCTCCTCCTCACCCACTACTGAAATGTCATCTGAGCGCTCGGTGTCTTTCAGGGCCTCATTGAGCGTGTGAGGAGATCGCAGATTTGCGCTGAAGTGCTTTGACGTTTTTCTCTCAGCCTGACACACTCCTCTCTTTGTCTGTCCATTTTTCAGAGAGAAGAACTTTAATGGCTTCCAGGTAGAGAGAAGGAGGCAGCAGTCAAGATGAACTCGATTCCGTCGATGGACAGGCACATACAGCAGACCAATGACAGGCTGCTGTGCATCAAACAGGTGAGGAGAAAAGAACCACAGTGACACAATGACCATCCGTCTGTCTGTCTGTCTGTGTGTCTGTGTGTCTGTTCATTGTTCCAGGGTCTCCTACTGCCTCTCTGATGGCGATCTGTAGTTTTCCGTTAGCTTGGCTCATATCAGGTTGCCGAATATGGTTGGAGTCTGAACCCTGCTGTCCTCCTCCTGTTGTTTTCCAAGCATCCCCTATCAGCCGGCACTTGTTTTTGTGTTCACAAACACAGGCACACTACTTAGCTGTCCAAATGCAGACATGCCATAGGCTTCTTTTACTTTTAAATTGAACTAATTATGCTACTGTTCAAAAGTTTGTGCACCGTAAGATTTTTTAAAAAGGAAATTAATACTTTTATTCAGCAGTGACGCACTGAACTGATCAAGAGTGAAAGTAAAAACATTTGTAATGTTACAAAAGATTTGCATTTTAAATAAATGTTTGAACTTTCTGTTCATCAAAGAATCCTGAAAAAGCTTTAGTAGGGGTTTCACAAAGCTGGAAAGCAGCACAGCTGTTTTCAACATATACATTTCTCTATAATATTTCTACTAATGATAATGCCAATAATAATAATTACTGTATATTACTTAATAAATAAAATTAATAATATCATGTGACACTGGAGACTAATAATGACTGCTAAAAATTCAGCTTTGTCATTTCAGTAATAAATAACATTTTAAAATATATTAAAATAGAAAAGAGTTACTTTAGATTGTCATGATATTTAACCATATTACTGTTTTTACTGTATTTAAAAAAAAAAAATGGTGACATTTCTTTCAAAAACATTAAAAAGTCTTACCAACACCAAACTCGAATGGTAGAGTATAATGACTACAGGTTAACCCAAAACCTAACACTATACCTAAATTAAGACTTTTTACATTTTCCCCTTTTGATTTGTCAGATCAACTCGCTTTACACATCACATCACATCATTTTATACAGTGTTTCTAAACCCTAAACCCTAAAGTGGGTATCAGTGCATTTAAAGCAAAGATTTGACTGATTTAAGAGCACTTCAGTTTATGAAAACCACTTCAAATGTCCTCATGTTTTAATATATCAAAGAGGACATTTGAAAAAGTAAAAAATGACACAACTATAGCCAGTCTTACACACAAGTAAGTATGACCCAATGCTATGTCTTGTGATTCTAGACTTGGATAATTGCAGTGTGCTGTGTAGGTGTGGCATTTTGTATCTCTTGACAGATTTATGAAAATATTTGACATGCCAACTTGTATATTACAGACAGTTCAGCATTTTTCATGTCCACACAGATTTCCGCTAGGCTTTGTTGTCTCTGCATCAATTAGGCAAGTCTTAGCGCTAATAAGATCATGTCTACAGCATGTAAGAATCCATTGAATTTCTGAGCCTATTTAATTGGTTACAAATGACACTGTTATCTCAGTTTTGTGTAGCAGATTGAGTCTGATTAAAGCTAAAGACAAAACGCAATCGATTGCTGCTCATTAATCATATTGATATGGCACATTTAGTGTGGTGAAAGTTGTCAGTTTAGCTGCCAGGACTATTGTCCCAGTGAGCTCAATTTAAGCAGAGAAAGTATACTTTATCATGTTATGTCCACATAATATTTTAGTCAGGGTTTTTTGCAGCAACAACAGTAATAAAGGTTTGCACAGAACACAGTAGTACATTTAAAACTTCCAAAGGTAAATGACCTCTAGTTTATGTGGAAATGCCAGTACCTTGACAATTTCTAAGCGTTCTCTTGTTTGTGACATCAATATGTCAAAAACCTGATACTCTTTCGATCTAATAGGGGTGTTTCCTTTCCTCTCTGTCCCGTTTCCCTCTTTTCATCATACTGTCATCCTGTCACTCAATCATACACCTGCCTGTCAGACAATCTATTCTTCCCTCAACTTTACTCAGTTGGTTATAATGACAGTAGTGTAAAACATCATGTCCAATCTCATGACTAACACCCACATGAAGCCATCAGCATGTTGTGATTGTAATGTCGATCAAACGGACCATTTTCTCTCTTGACTTCTTTGCCTTTTTTTCTACCCTCATACTGCCAGACTCTTGCACTGCCATCTGACTTTCATTTACAGAGCCCTTCCTACAGATTTCCTCTGTTTTCCCATTGTGGGCTTCCTCACCAGCAGTTAAAGCCCGCACACAGAGCAGTCGGCAACCAATAGCTGTCAATCACACAAAATGAGATCCTCTTCTGTCTGAGAGGAGCAGACTGACATCACATTCAACTGAAGTCGAAGTGGTGCATTGAACCGAATCACACGCTCAGCCAGATCAATTTGTCCTACAAATTTTTGTTAATTTTAACTGTATATTAAACAAGGCCTGATTACTGTCACACCTGTTTGCAATCAAGAAATCTCTTAAATAGGTCCTCATCCATCCTCCACACATCTGAATATTTGGGTTGAATTGTTCTGGAACAGTGTTGTAAATACAACTTAACCACTGATTTCTAGTCATGTCCTCTTTTGGAAGGCCAAACAAAGTAGTTTCGCTTTCAGAACGAAACACACAGCGTCTCCACAACATGGCAGCGGCAGCAACAGCGAGAATAAAAGTTACGCCGCCTTTCTTTGCGTGAACATTTGGGCTGCGTTAGGCAAATCTTCACGTGTTAGAACGAGCCGTTTTAGGTAGGCATGGTTGACTCTTAACTTTTATAAAGAATGTCTCTTTGGATTTGAGACTTTAGTCTTTACAACTTTACAGATCTTCTTTATGCACTAAGAGCTTGTAACACTCCAAAGAGAAAGGAAAAATTTAAATCGCATCATATGACCCCTTTAAGTAAAATTGTGGCGTCTGAGCTTAGTGTCCCCATTTTCTTTTTCTTATTTGTTGAGCTTCAATTTATTCTGCTAAGTAAAACTAAAACTCTTATCATTCACAGTGTTTACCTTTGAATGCATGATGAACATTTGGATGATCAGAACAATTCTCTTGGCTCGTTCTCCATCAAGAACATGAGGAGGAATTTAATGATTAGAAATAATAAGTGAAACATGGCACAGCAACTCAGTTTAATTAGACAGTCTTTCTTTTCTTTTTCTTCTTAAGAAGAAATTATCATTCACTTGGAACATGAATACAAATTTGCTGAAGAGTATTCTGATACTGGAGGAGGCGGTTATTCATGGTCCATGTCCCGTGTAGAACTGATGAAATGAGCTCGTGCTCAGGGATTTCCTATGACAGATTAGCTGATGAGAGAAATCGCCCTTAAGGTTTCAAGATCCTGACCTTCTTTTTTTTTGTCTTTTGTCTGAGTGCGACTTGAATAATTTGAAGATTCCGTTCCATAAAATTTCCTAATATGAGTTTTATTTTCTTAATTTAGTAATTAAAAATGTAGTCAATTTAGAGTCATATTCTGTACTTTTTATTATTATTATTTAAAATTTTTATCATGTTTCCTGCACCAGTACAAGAATATATTAAAAAAAATAATAATTTAAAATTATATAAATATATTATAAATATGCGTTTTTAGAAAATTAAGTTTTCGGTTTTCCATGTTTGTGTGTGAACTGTGTATATGGATATTCTTATGTTTGTGACATATTACTTCACAATGATTAATTTTTGCTGCTTAGTTCCTAAAATTGGACTGGGAGGACAGCAAGAAAGAAGCAAGAAAAATTTTATTTTCCATTATCATTGACTGTAATACAGTGATATTGTAGTATAGATGATCAGAAGTGTAGATGTCCAGGCCTGGTCAAGCAACATGACTTTAATGCCTCTGGAGTGACTGATCATAACACACAGAGCTGCCCTGAGGTGGAGAGGTCCTGTTTGGACACCACATGCTTAGCAGGGGAAAGGTGGAGTGCTGAGATTTGGCTGCTGTTGCGTTAACACCTGTTTTGTGATCCTGCCAAAAACCCTTCACTGCTGACACACGGATCTGAGTGCCCACCATCACAACAGTGAGCTTTCCATCCCCTCCTCTCTTTCCTGATAATCGTGTGGTAAGAGCCAGACACCAGAATGTCCGCTTAAACAAAGAGTCACCTCTCTCAAAATGGAGATTCTTTTCCACCAGCTTTTTGTGGCGCGAGGGGGAACATTTTCTACCCGCATATCCCTTATGCTGTGCAGGATTTACTCAGCGGGGTTCTGCGGCAGTAGACATTGGCTCTTTGTCAGATGAGCTCTTTGTCAACACACACACACCAAATTCACTCATTCAAATGGCGACCTCTGCCGCCCTCGGAAGACAATGCTGCTTCCTCGCTGCGAGCCGGGGAAGAGGAGGTGTCCGTCGGAGTATAATGGTCTTCAAAGTGAGCAGTCTCCTCCTCAGAGCGGCCAAACAGCGCTGGAGCATTAAACGTGCAAAGGCTCTGAAGTGGGAGTACAGATTGCTCGTTTGTTTAAATTTCTTGTCATGTCTTGTGCGCCACCGGTCGCTGGAGAGTTTGGGTGGGAGGAGGGTGGTCCTGAGGGGAGGATAAACAACCTTGGCACTCAATAAATAAATAAAAAAATCGTAGGGAAAAGAGAATAAGCCTCGTCTCATTCAATTCTGCCACAAAGCCCCCCCTCTTGTGCTCGCCTTATTGGCCGGCTCTGCTTGAGTTATGCTTTCAGAGGTGCAGATCTATTACATCTTAGTGGACAAAAGATGATGAAGAGTCTGGATTAGGACGCACTGCGGTGTGTGAGGAGGCCTTGAAGCACACTGAGCTCTTTGTCAGGAGGTGGATCTGTCCCAGAATGCACAGCTGCGTTCAGACCAGGAGGCCTTGGGTTACCGGCTGGGTTCTTGCAGAGCTGTGCAGATGCACCGAGTCAAAGGGCAGGAGGAGTTGGAGCACTTGGCTGACTGAAAACAATATCCACTTTAAGAACAAAATACCACCCCTTGTTGAATACTGGTTGTCAATATGCCATAAAATGTATAAGGGATATGGTATATGATTCAGAAAGGAGCAGAATCAGTTGAATGATTAGTTTTTTGGTTCACATCCTCAAAGTTTTTTTTATATATATTCATTAAATATTTTTCAGCAGGTTTTCAAGTGTTTCTGTCTGTTTAAAGAAATATTCTAGAATAGAACAAAGTCTAAATTAAACACACATTTCAGAGTTTTTAATTGCAGTTATAATATGAATGTATTAATAAGTAATAGTTGTTGTAAAATTATGTTCAATTTTATGATATATTAAATATCAAGTTATATATCAAAACTGATTTGATTTTCTATGATTTTCTTCTGTGGAACATAAAAGAAGATATTTCTATATATTCAAATTTTGGACAGAATTTCTTTAAGAGATTTTTTTTCTTTTTCTTTGTTTTTTTATTTTATTTAAGTTTTCTAAATCATCATTTAGTGGAATAATTTTTTAGGTGGGTAAACGTACTTATATTATGCTTATCTTGAATTCCTGCATGTGAAGTTTTAGTATGATTAGAGTATTATGATTTTTATGTGATATTTATGTGATGATAACATGTCATGTTGAAGTATTATGGTTATGTTTTCACAACAGTGTTGAATATTTGAATATTTTGTGTTTATTTTTAGTGCTAAAAATTACGTTTTTAAATATTGATTTTCCATCTAGATTTTAATGTTGTAATATTTGTGATTTCTTCTGTTCGAACAGCACTTACAGAATCCGGCCAATTTCCAGACAGCGGCCACGGAGCTACTGGACTGGTGTGGAGACCCACGAGCCTTCCAGCGGCCATTTGAGCAAAGCCTTATGGGATGCTTGACGGTAAGACAGCAGCTGCTCAAGTCTTGTCCTCATGTCAGGGGCCAGTGACGAAGGTTAAAGCAACAGTCACGCTTCACGTGTCCCTCTGCCCACCCACTGATCTCTCTCTCTCTCTCTGTTTCTTTTCTTCCCTCTTGTAACCTCTTCCTGAGACTGGTGTTTAAGGTTTTTATTTTTTTGGATTTTAAAATATCTTCTCCTATCTCACCATGCAGAATCAGGTATAATTAAACCATTAGTAAGCTGAACTTTTCACATTTCATTCTGTTTATTGATGCTAGTGTTGCTGAACATACAGTAGGACACTCGGCCCACATTCTCCATGACAGTCATTGACTATGGCATATTGCCAGTGTTTAGCACCTTCAGTCTGATTCAGGTCTCCAGTCCAGATGCTTTTCGTGGGCATATACAGACATTTCCCATTGATTTCAACTGGACTTATTTCATCCCCACTCCCACTCTGTGATCTGAATTATTCATATATTGATTTACTGGGAGGCTAGATTTGCATCAGGTGTCTTTGCTGAGATTTTCATGTCATTCATATGTCCTAGATCAGTGCTTCTCAACCGGGGCCACAATAAGCCTTAAAATAATTACATTTATTTTACTTCATAACATTCATTGACATCATATTTTTGAGGTTATTTATTTGTATTACAACAGAAGCACCAGAGGTAAATATAAGCTTAGATACGAGGACCTCCAAATATCGTCTTTCAAAAAGTTTGTAAAACAGTGTCCTGAGGTTTCTATGCCATTTTGTAGAATAAATAGTGTAAGAAATGTGGTTACACTGAAAGTTCCCAAAAAGTGCACTTTAAATACCCGGATAATGCACTTAATTAAGCAAAAATAACAAAACAAAAAACAGTGTGTGGAATGTTGGACTTTTCATGCACTCTGTTGCAGCTTTCCTTGCGTATTTCAGGGGATAGGGCTACATTTCAATGTTGGATGACAAAATAGCACTTACACTAGACGGTAGAGTGTATAGTGCCTCATTTGGGACATAACTCTCAATTAATCTTGCGCTAATATTTAGAGCCTTTGGAACTAAATGACAACTTTTTGCCAACAATGATGTTTTCTTGATTATTCTTTAAATACCACCCTTAACACTTTAAAACCCATACTTAACTTCCATTTAAGTTATTGATTGAATCCCTTAATAGCATTTTATTAGCATTTTTTAATGAATGAATGTACATTACCAGTCTGGAATAATTAAGATTTCTTAATGTTTTTGAAAGAAATCCCTTATGCTATTCAGCAGCAAAAACTCTTTTCAGCTTTGACAATAAGAAATGTTTCTAGAGCACCAAATCAGAGTACTAGAATGATTTCTGAAGGATCATGTGACGCTGCTGAAAAAAAATTTTTTTTTCTATTTTAAAATAGAAAACACTTATTTTAAATTTTAATGTTTCACAATATTACTGTTTTACTGCATTTCTGATCACATAAATGCAGCCTTTGTGAGCATAAGAGACTTCTTTCAAAAACATGAAAAGATCTTAATTATTCAAAATAACTGGTAGGGTGCGTGCAGTTTTATGTCACAGCTCAGAATAGTCATTAATGAAAGGTTTTGGGCTTTTGAGGGTTTTTGTGTGTGTGTTTAATGTTGTTAACCAATCAGTATTTGAAAGATATAATTTTTTGATTAGTCACATGGCATTAGCTCAAAACAACCTGACTAACCTGACTGCATCACAAAGGGGTCTCTGCACCAGCTGAGCTACTGCCTTTGAGATGAATGGGAATGTTAACGGACAGCTTTCTCCAGTTATTCCAGACTGCTCTGACAGCCTGAGTTTGGTTCAGCCTCTCTCTCTGGAGTTGGTGTCATGTGTGTACATGACAGTGTGTCCCTAGACACCGTCTTCACACCACACGCGTAAAAAGGATGCGCATTATGTTTGTTCTCTGTATATTGTAATTAATTTGTCTGATGCATTGGGGGTCCCTCAGAGAGCAGCGCAGAGGTTCTTCTCCCCAGGTGAGGATGGTGGAGAAATGAAAGAACTGGGGAGATAAGAAAGTTGGCTGACAGATGTGGACATGTCTTACACGTTCCCCCTCAGGCAGCAGGTAGCTCTCTGCTCTCCGCAGACCTGCATATGGAGCTGTTTTTCCATTGTCTCTCAGCTGCACAATATCTGCACTCAGCCAAATGATAAATGACATCTCCAAACTGTCAGTAGCTTTAGCGATGACAACTTTCTCTGCTGTCCCACTGTCTTTTCTTGTCAACCCTGCATATCTGCAGTGCTATGGGCCTCACTCTGGAAAGAAATAAATGGCCATTTTTTTCTTGTGTATTATATTGCGCGTCACTGTTTGTGTGCCCTCGGCCCTTTAGCAAAACTGTAACCGAGGAGATTTGTGTGGCTCAGTGATTCTGATATTTTTTTCTGTTGAATCACTTAAATATTTTAGGCCTGCGTTCTGAAAAGAGAGATTATGTGGAAAAGGCTTATGAGAGGATGCATTTCTAAACGCCAGTGGAATCTATACCAGCCCTCGTGGCAGCAAGCCTGGCTGCTGCGTTTGGCAAGTGCAGCTGCAGAAGGGAAATTAAAGTTTGGCAAGAGCGCAGCGTCACTGCCTGTCCAAAAATCCCAAAAAAAACTGGAGGACAAAAACTGGGCTTGATTTTCAGTTTCATAGATGCCATTCTAGAATCCCGTTAAGCTGTTATTTGACCATTAAATCATGAATAGAAATCTGTCAGCACAGGTTTGATTTGTCGTTTTTGTTGCACTGCCTTGGTAGCAGATGTATGACAATTTATGATTTAGAAGAGTCACGTTTGCACCCCATGTGGAACAAGCGCCGGGTGTTAAGAATTGAGAAGGTTAGTAAGTGGATAAATGCAGTGCACAGCTGCAGCAGTGTGATACATGAGTCATTAAACATCATGTGCAGCCTTGTTCAGATTTTACAGCAGATAATACAAAAGATTGAATGCCTCTCGTTTTATATTGGTTGTGTCTTTTTTTGATGGATAGAATAATAGAGAGTGAAAGGGGGAGACCAAATGAATTCTTTCAAATTGAATGTTATTCAGAGCAATTCAAACCCATAACTTTAAAATGAAAAAATAGGTGTCTTAAACACGAAATGTTTTTTCTTTTTGTCATTGTCAGCCTGTGGTCTAAAATATTTAAGCTTTCCTTTTGTATCATTTTAATGGAATAGGTTACCAAAAAATTATTTCAGTCTTTTTTTTACTCACATTTTGTGATGTTCTAATCCCATATTACTTTTTTTGTGGAATATAAATAAGATGTTTGGCAGAATTTTCTCACTGCTATTTTTCAGTGAATGGGGACCAGGGGCTGTAAAGCTCCAAAAAAGACAATAAAATGTCACAAGTGAAAAAAACATTTATTTTATTTATTTATTTATTTATTTTCACAGAGAGGGACTGAATAAGTTTTGCTTGGTATTATTTAACTTGGAATATACAGCCCCAGTATCCATATGTATTGCTGTTATGGCACTTTTTGGTAGTGGTTTGTCATTTAAGTTTGATAGCAACTTGGTCACCATTGACTTTCATTGTACGGAAAAGAGCAGCTTGAACATTCTGGTTAACTTCTCTTTTTGTGTTCTATGGTAAAAGTCAGTCATGCAGGTTTGGAACAATATGAGGGTGAGTAAATGACATTTTGGGGTGTTCAGTCCCTTTAAGAGATTCCACAGGTTAAGCCAGAGTTATGTATTCTGTGTGTAACATTGTCACCTACCATCTCTGTCTTACATGTGGCTTTATGGTTTTATTTACACGCTTTTGAATTGTTTCGCGAAAGATCACAAGATGCTTTGAAAGAAGCTGGAGTTGCGAGTTCAAGGGGCCAAGTGCGGGCTGTGGTCTCTGCGGATCAGGGGGTATTCAGAGAATGAACACAGACGTCTGCACACCAGTCACACAGATCTCTAGGGAAAGCTCATCAGTCGTGCCCTGCAAATATCAACACAGTCTTAACACTATTCTGCATCAGTGGAGGTGGCTGTTTTATCTTTGAGTGCATTATTCATGCACATATATAAATATTTGATATGATTGCACTAAAAACGGGAAATTGCTCTTTTATGAGTAGTTTTTGGAGAGATATTTGGTGTACAAGGAAGAGGGGGGTGGTAGCCGGGTGATGCGAGTATACCGCTGGTTCTCGCTTCTCTCATGGGAGACTGGGGTAGAATTTCAAGGAAGCTTAATTGCACATAGCTCATGTAGACTATTGAAAAATTCAATAGCCTTAATGCTAAAGAGTGTGTTTAGAACATTTCAGCTTGATTTTTCTTCAGTCTTTTAGTGGAGAACTCTGTTTGCACCTCTCCTGTGAATGCGAATAATGGACACACACATGCAGATGAAGCATGTGAGTACAAAAAGACCCATTTTAAAGCTCATATGGTCTCTTTCCGCAGGTTGTAAGTCGTGTGGCAGCGCAGCAGGGTTTTGACTTGGACCTCGGCTATCGGCTCCTGGCCGTGTGTGCGGCAAACCGAGACAAGTTCACCCCTAAGTCGGCAGGTGAGATCCGCTTCTCTCATTGCGATGTTTCTTCTCACTCATCACTGCTACAGACACTCTGCCTGTAATGAATCCACATTTCTCATTTAGCGATGTGACAGGAAATCTTTTAATTGCGGCATTATGCAATCAAAGCGCACGGCCATGCATTAGCATCCTTTCACTTTCCTTTGTCCGACACTCACTCGTCTCCTTAAGACGATTTAACTTCCCGAGGTTGTCTTTTCCTGACGATTTTACATGTGAAGCTCTCGGCGTGCCAGAAACACCCCCGAATAATTCATTGATAAGCCGCCAGAGTTCACTTTCCAACAATCATCCATCAGCAGAGCAGCATCTCGTTGTAATCAGCTCTGTTTGAAATCCTGACCTTCTCAGCCAATGCTGAGTGTCCTGTTCTTGTACATTTGTCAAAGTGAATTGCGGACGGGCATCAGCCAAACAGAGATAGATGGCCCGCAAACGCCGGGGTTGAGGTGTGTGAGTGTACTTCATTTGAGAAAGGCCTGACATGGCTCGCTGTTGAGAATGAAGATAAACTGTCCATTTGAACCATGGTTACTGTGGGACACCTTGGGCCTTCCAGAAACATTTTTTTTGTTCATATTTCTCTTTTTAGATCACTGCAAAAATTGTTTTCTTAATGAATATTTTTGTCTTTATACTTTAAAGCAGTGGTATTTTAGCAGTATTTATGTACTGTTACAGTATTCATTGAAATAGTTTTTATTTTTATGCTTTCAGTTTTCATTTCAGTTTTAGTATGTGTTATGTGTCTTTTGTTATTGTCTTTTTTTTATTAGTTTTTGGGTTTATTTCTAATTTATTTTTTATTTCCATTTCAGTTTTAGTTCGTTTTACAGCTTTTTTCAGTTAGTCACCAAGACAACATTTCTCTCTCTTTTTTAAGTTTTTCAATTAATGTTTGTTTTATTTTATTTTTTTATTTTTTCAGTTAACAAAATAATGATTATTAACAATAACAATAACATTTATTTATATAATTTTTTAATTTGCTTACTCCCAGTAATTACATTTGTTTTAAGGATGTCAGAAATTTTTACTCGAAAACAAGACAAAAATACTGATTAATAAATGTATTTTTTGCAGTAAATAGCTGAGATAGTGGCAGTATGCTCTTAGTAACACTCACATGGCTTGTTGTTTGGTAGCGGAAATATTTCTCAGTTTCAGTGATATCTCCAATATTTCAAATCAAGCAGAGTTTATACCAGTGGTTGCATTCAGAGCAGCGGCTGATAAAGAAATGGCTGCAAGCAGATATGACTCAGACTTCCTCTCTCTCAGTGCATCATGGGGGCATCCATCTTACCTCTATCATAAGGGTGTCTGCCACCCCAGACACACAGACGACAGTGGCAGGGCTCAGTCTCATAAACCCATCTTCCGTCCCTCTCGTTTTCTGTCCTCCTTGATGCCACACACTCTTTCTCTCTTTATCAGTCTACATCCATCACGCAAACACACACAGAAAGAGCAAAAGGAAAAAAAATAGAGAGAAGAGATATGCACGTCAGGTCAGGGATTTGAGAAAGTGCAGCCCCAGCGAAAACCCAGTGACAGGCAGGATGGCGACAGAGGGGCGGCCACCCGACACCACACACCGGAGTTCAGTGTGTCTGGCGCGCTCAGAGCCTGAGAGAAGCGAGACACTCCCACATTACACGATCAATGCACAATCAGGCGGCCGCGGAGAGGCAGTCACCGGCTGCAGGATGAATCCGTCATGTTTTGCTGTCTCTGTGATATAGAATGCAGCTGACACTGGGCTGTGAGGATGGCCAAAATCATCCACTTACACTTAGAATTACACTTCTGTTTGCCTCTCGTAAAAGAATGTTAAGTGCCTGTAATGGATAAATGCCAGAAGATGTCTTGTAGGATATAGTAAAGTAATTCATATATTTGTGCTTTGAGCTCTTGTTAATGTTACATTTTAACAGTTATAGTGCTATAAAATGGTCAATTGGATTCCTTTGTTTTTGACATGCGATGTAGGCAAATCTAACACATTTGCTTGAGGCATGTATTTTTCAATGACAAATTTGATGAGCACACTTTTATCATCACTGCAAAACAGTTAATCAATATATTTGTCTTGTTTTCCAATAATTTTTTTTTCATTCTGAATATCAGTAAAACATAAATTTGCAAAATTGTTAAAAAAAGAAAATACTTTTTTATTAAGTATTAATATTAATGTTGTAAATAGCATATATAAATAATTATATATAAATGTTCAATTATATATATATAAAAACATTAATTTATATATTATAAACTTAACATGGGGGGGGGGAATGTGAAATGTTATATATAAAAACATTTTATTATTATTAATGCGGAGTAATAATTAATACATTTGTAATTAGATTTAAAATGTATATAATACATTAATTTATACTGTATAAAAACAGGAGAAATAGAAAATGTGAAAAACATTAATAATTATATATGTAAGAATAATAATAGTTATTATTATAATACTGTACTATTATATATTTTATATTTTCTTGTGAATATTATTATTATTATCATAAATGATCATAAACACTGATTGGAAAAGTGCATTGACAAAAGAAAGATATAATCAGTGCAAACTAAGTGATGGAAGCGCATTGTGCATTGTCACCAGCTGATCTTCAGGAAATGTGAGATGTGGTGTATGTGTGTAGATGAAGTCTAGTCTGTTAGTGCGTGCTGGTTTATGAGTGCTGACCTCTCTGTCAGCAGGATTATCCGGCAGTATTAATCTGTGATTATGGGAATTATTTGTCCACGGTGTGTTTGCATCTGTTTGTGTGTATGTGTTAGTGCTCTGATTGAGTCTGATCTTCTCTGCTTACATGCTACTGACAGACTATTTAACCTGGCTTTGTTTGGCACCCCACCGCCAGTGCAGTAGGATAATTATTTAGTCTAAAATCTCCCTCTTTAGAGCACAGAGTTGTGTCTGTACCAAGAAATGCTAAATACCTTGTCTGAGATGCTTTTATTGAGCATATGTTAATTATACATAGCATCACAATTGCTTTTGACGGTATTACAACAATATCCTGTCAGTCACAACAGTCTCCTCACTTAGATCAAAATCGAGTTCTTCCCTCTGTATGTGTCATGCTGATATTTAATTCAAGAGCAGGTTAGTTGAGAGATTGACAGCTAATGTGTTCATCTATTAGGCCATGTTTCTCATTCGCATGGCCCCATTCAGAAAGCCTGCTATTATTTAAGCATTTTCCTGAAAAAAAGTAAACTTTCCAAATCACGTTTGTGCCTGCATACAGGAGCCAGAGATAGTGTGCCATTGTTCAGAGTGAGATGTTGCGACAAGATAATTGCAAGGTGTGTCTCAATTCAAGTGTTTTTAAAGTCTGTTATTGAGCAGATTTGGCACGAAGCGCAGAAGACATTAAGTACAGGAATTTGAACAATGCTTTGTTTTTCCCTCTAAAATCTTTAACCAGTGTTTATAAGAATTCCATAGTTTCCATAGACACACTAACAAATAGTTTAAGTCGCTTTCTATAATAATTATGATTGATTCATTATGATTCAGTCATATATCAGTTATTTGTACAGTTTTGTGACTAAAACAAGTTTATGCACTCAGCAACCCTTACTGAGTGATGGTGTGCACATTTAATTGCATTTTAGTGAAAGGTCTTTCACCATATTCTAGTTTTTGGCCCCGATTGTTTTTTTTTAATATAGAGATACAGTTGTTTGATGCAATTGCACGTCAAAGTAAAGTTGACACACGGCTGTTCTCTGAGCAGCGGATTGGCTAAAGTATGAAATTGACCAATGGCCACACTGTGGGTTGAAATGGATCTCTCAACGCAATGGTGAGGAATGTTCCTGCTCTATATAGGAAGTCTGTCAGCAGCTTGTAAATCAGCCCAGCTGGAAGGCACGTCAGGAGAGCAACCAATCCGCCATGTCGAGGGTGACGGATCGCTTTCCAGCACCCAGCCGTAATTCACATGTCATGTTACACACATGGTTTACAGAGAAGACACAAGTGCAAATACACAAGAAACTCAAGCCTGGGGACCTCCCCGTTGGTTTGATATACCGCAAACCCTGCCTACCTCTATCTGCGTACAGTTCTCACTTCATACATTTACTTCAGACGATCACTGTGACTTTGAGTCTGCAACATCAAAGTAGAGATTGTTAGTGGGTCACAATCACCAATTGCCAGAATTAACAATTACCAAGCAAGTCAACAATTTCAATGCCAATTCAACAAATGTGAATAAATATTGACTATTGTTGATTAGCTAGTTATTTATTAGTTGGATTATAACATTAATTGTAACAAACTCCAAAAACTGCACTGAAACTGTAGAAAAAAAACATAAAATATACAATTCAGATATGTAGATTTTTGTATTTTAGTTAAAAAATATTTAAATGTACTGTATAGAATATTGCAGTTCAGAAATATTTATGAAAAGATAAAATCCACCATTTTCTGGTGAGACATAGTTAATTTGGGACTTAAATAAGTTTCAAGATTCTTCTCTTTTCTTCTGATGTAATCATTCAGCAACAGTTCAGCTACTTTTAGATGCTCCAGATCTGCTAGACTTTTTGTTCTTACAGAAACAAGCTGATTATTTCATTGTAGTTTGTAATCTGAAACTATTCTGCTGTATTATGATAGATTTTTACATCAAAAGCATCAGGTTATTTATAAGATTGCTCATTTGTAAAGTACTGAAGTTGAGAGCTGCAGAGAATGACTGGAGTGATGTGTTTGTGTTGGTGGAGGGTTATGACTCACTGCTTTGCAGTAAAAGTTAAAGGAAGCTCAAGTTCCTGTTTGAGCCAGCTTTGGCTCTTCACCTCCTTTTTCATGTAGCCCGTAGCCTTGACATCTCTCATTTTCTCTGAGTTATTTCATCCCCTCGTAGCTTGATATTAAAGGTATCTGTCACACGCAGCGCTTCAATGCCGGCCAGGGAGACGGC